AATTTTTTAATTCTTATTATGATTTACTGTGATCGCTGTGTTTTGTCATATTGTTCCTTTGCACCAGTCACATATCTGCGACCTGTGGCCGAAGTTGCATTATCTTGTCCAGATAGGGATCGTAGCTTTTTTTTTTTGCTTCCTTCCGCTGTTTTCGTGGAGTGAAATGCAGCCTTTGTTATTTGGGAGAAAACTTGCATCCACTGTTTTTATGTTCCATCAGCATACCAGCTGGTAACTTTTCTATTTTTTTTCCCTTTATCGGATGCTGTATAGGAGTTTGCTAGAGTATGAAAGGCTAGTTTTGTTAGATCTTTGGATATAGAGCTGCTTTGAGTTGCACCGAGCAACGACTGCATGGCTCTTATTATTATTATCATTGTTATTTATTATTATTGTTGTTGTTATTATTATTGTTGTTATTATTATTGTTGTTATTATTATTGTTGTTATTATTATTGTTGTTATTATTATTGTTATTATTATTATTGTTGTTATTACTGTTGTTTTTTTTTTTTGTTTTGCTGGTTGCATCACTATAATCGCTTGTCAACATTATTGTCAGGAACAAGCTTACTTTTCAGGGTATTTACTTTGCGGACGTTTTCGCAAAAAGTGAAAATTACTGTACGCCGTCAGAACGTGGATCTAAGTACATGCTGTTATGTCAGGTGAAATTTTTTGATTGGCGTGCCCTTTTTAATCCTGAAGTATTACTTTTTTTCATTTGTTTTTTGGTAAGCAAACGTACATTTGATGAGTTTTAGATGAGAACGTTTTTTTGGTAAAAGTATAGCAGTCTTTTGCAGTTTTCATCCTGAACACCATCTTTCAAATTCTTAAGAACACCATCTTTCAAATTCTGAAGGATTAGCTTCTTTGATGCGTTTTGTTTGGCCTTTCTCTACCCATATCTAGTACATTCATTGCTCTCCACCCCACCCTGACAAAATTTACCTACAGTCGACTGTCCCATAGCCTTTCAGATTGGAGTTCGGGATTTTTGAGCCTTCAGATCCAAATATAGATTGATTACGCTGTTGTTTCAATATTGAACCAGACAGTCAACGCGTTCTTTCCCTTACGGATGCTCCTTTCTGTACTGTATCCCACAGCGCCGGCGCTTTTGCGAGATATACTTTATTAAATTTTGAATTCATTGGTTGAGGTGTGCTTTGGGGTAGCAATGGGTGGCGGGCATTTCGAAAGATGACTTTCAATTTACCATTGAGTTATCTGTATGTTTGATTCAATTGAAATACTTCTACAGACATGCCTTGTAGTGATGCATGTTCGGAGATGCACCGAAGTAGCTGCATAGTGTTTGTAGGTGGCACTTGGAGAAATTTATTATGGCGTAAATTCGTCAGTTGTCCGCGCAGATGCACAGAACAAGCTGACACGTTATGATACGTTGAAGGTTATTGGACGACAACAGCCTGACCCTCATTTTGACATGACCTTGCCAAATGGTACCCTTCTTTGCAAAGTTTTTTTTTTCCTATTTTTTTCCTAGAGTTATACAGCATGAAATACGGTCAAATAATAAGATTATTACCTTCAGCCTCTGTATCGGTAGGTTTTTTTTTTTTAGATTTTTGGCTGTGCGCGAAAGTAGCACCTGGAGTGATCTAGGTGGTAATTATAACAGCATCGGAGGGGTGAAACAGATGAGGGAGGTCCAGCGCCGAGATTTTGCTAATGGGCACCCCGGCCAAGTACCACCCCAGAACCGCGGTACCATCCCTCACGCACTTCTGGGCCGCGCGTACGAGAGGCAAAGTTTTGGCGGGAAAACTGATAACTCAGAAACGGGAAAAGATAGACGCTACAAGCATCACCTTTATACCGTCTTTTCATTTTGCAGCTGAATTTGCTTTTTCGTCTAGTCTTGTTGATGATTAAGTGTCATGACGGCTTTTTCGATATTTTTGCGCCAGAAATCCACTTCTTGATCATCGCTGACTGTTCGTTAGCGTTGGAAATAAGCGTACGTGGTGAACTAACCGATATTCCCTTTTCTTCTGATTTTGCTGCATTAGCTTGTAGTAGACGTGCACTAGTCCTGGTATCATTCGAAAGTTTGATATGTTCCGGTGTTATCAATAAATAGAATCACTTTTTTTATGGATGGATTTTGAAGCTTCACTGCTATCTGTAATGCTTTATCACTGTTTCCTGTTTAGGATGTGTCTTGGCGCTGGGGAATTTGATAGAGACCGATTGCGATGAAGTGCAGAAGCGATACAATTTCTTCCCGTATTTGGATTATAACGAATATATTGTACGGGACAAAACTTTAACTCTTGTACGCTTTGTGGTTGTTTTCAGGTAGCCACCTGATTTTTGGTTTGATTTACTCCAATTCCCAAGTTCCATATTTTTCACGTTGTATATGTTTGTCACACCTGTGCTTTGAAATTTGCAAATTGTAAATCATAAATTGTTGGACGATCCAAGCATATACCGCTTACAGAGCGTTATTTTGATCATTCCATGCAGTCGTTACACTCTTTCCTTCGCAACCTTCTCATCCTTTTAATTTTGAATAAATTGGCGCCCTTCAATGGCACTTTAGCAACACAGTTCCAGCAGGCATCTCTCCAGATGCTTAGACATACAGCTTCTCCAGCCGGACATTTGTCTCTTGCCACATTTGCCTTTTCAGCATATGTGAAAAAACTTATGAATAATTTAAATGAGGAGTAGGCTAGAACTCTTTCTAGCAGTTCCTTGCAGCAATCAGCGGTTGCCTGAATCGTAGCAAATTCTTTAGTTCTTGAATGATCACGTCGGCATTTAATGATGCCGGCAAGGGCTTTTTGATGAGTGGCACCTTAGGATAAAAATATTCCCTGTAACCCAGGTGAGTATTTTCAGCTTCCTGAACAGTATTCCTGAACATTCATGCGTTCTTTTGG